CAGAGAGAGGAACTTTCTCTGATTTGGTTATAGGTTTTATTTTATTCTAAGAGGGGAAAAAAAACCCAATTCTCTTGTGACTCTGCTTTCCATTTAAAATCCTCTCTAAGCCTGCCCTCCTCCAGGTGTAACCAGCACATTGAGCATGGCTCAGTCCCAGCAAAGCCAGGCTTATTCCTTTCATTCCCTGGCACTGGGTGCTGCAGGGGCTGTTCTTGGTGGCACTCCTGGTGACACCCAGGTCCTTGCTGCGTGTGGAGCAGGGGGTGCAAGCAGGATGGATGTGCAGATAAACAACCACCACCCTCTGCTGCTGCATTTTCGGTTTAATTGCCTTTCTTTAAGTGCTGATATTTGTGTATTGTTCCCATTAGAGACAATTTACGTTCCAGGCATGCCATTATCAGTCCCTTGATGTTTGCTTAGGGAAGAAAGTCTAATAGATTTCTGTTGACTTTTTTTATTCTCCCTCCTTCTATCATTTTTAATACAGATCTGCGTGGGTGGGGGCTCTGTGTGTGTTTAATTCTGTTTAATTCAGGAGTTTGCCATCATGGCCCATATTCTGCCTGTCCAAATCTCTTGCCCAGGACTTGTCCCAGCTCCTGGGGAATCCTGCAGGCTGTGTTCTCACTGGAGCATTAACTCTGCTCCCTAATGCTCCTCCCCAGGAGCTGAACTTCTCAAACATCTCCCAGAATTATTGGTCCTCACCATCCCTCTTGGGATGTCCCCAGGAGGACATCGGGGTGACCAGCCTGGGGTCTTTGCCATAGAAAAATTCCCTGTGATTCTGGATGCATGATAGGAACAGCATTGGAGAATTGCAATTTCTCATGACTGAGGAAGTGAACAGAGTTTCCCTGTCCTGGTGAAGAGGTCTCTGAGTAACCTCGGGGGTCCAGAAGGTGACAAAGGAAATGACCAAGCCCTTTGAGTTGGAGACAAGCATTAATATTGTTTATGGGGTTCATATCTAGATGAGGGAACCCCTGGCTGAGACAGGTGGGATTTATGGCTGTTGGCACCATGTAGAATAGGGGCTGTAATTTTAGTTTGCAAAGTGTATTGAGTCCTTTTGATTTAGCACTGACTGAGGGAGTGACCTTGAGCAAAACACACGCAGGGAGAGGAGAGAGGGGCACCAGGGTTTTGACAAGACATTTTTCATTTGGAAATGCCACTTCACTGAAAGTGGAGCTCTTCAGGAAAAAGTATCAGTTTGGATGAGCTTCTCCTCTGGAATTTTTTGGGTCGAATGAAAAGTTGTTGGGTTTTTATTTCCCAGCTGACTTTTCTTTCCAAATTAATTTTTTTTTTTTTTTTTTTTTTAATATGCACAACAAATATTTTAGAGGTCATTTGAAGCCTGCCTGATCTCAAGTTTGTAGTTCAGCTCTCAGGATTGCAAAACTTCATTTTTCTGCTGCAAGCCAGAAATTTTCCAAAATCCTCCTCAATAACCGCAAGGTGGAAAAACCATTTTTTTTTTTTTTTCTTTTTTCCCCTACAACCAAAAAAGCGTGATTCTGCAACCAGAGAGGCTCTGCTGTGTGTGTGCCCTGCTCTCTGTATCCCTGAGGAGTGCTGGCACCTCCAGGCAGGAGCTGCACTTCCCTGTGCCCTGGCTGCACCTTGCCCTGCTCCCTGGAAGTGAAGTGCAATTCCATTTTTTTTTTTTGTTTTTGCCCCTTTCCCCCGCTCTGATCTCACCAAATGAAAGCAGGGAAAGGCTCCAGCAGCAGCAGGACCTGCCTGTGGATTTGCAGTCAGGAGCCATCCCCAATAACCATCAGGCTGTCAGCTCCCCACCTCCCCCCAGCTCCCACCTCCCCCATCACTCACCAAAGGGAAAAAAGAGCTGGAGCTGCAGCTTGAAATATATCATGCAATAGTGTATCATGAATTTCTTGTGAATCACATTGGAGAAGCAGGTTTATTTATTTCCGAGACTCTAAATCAATACAAAGTAGGTCTCTTAGTTCTGAAGCTGGGATGGAGTGGGAAAAAATGAGCCCATTGTACTCTTAAAACTTTGGGGAAAGGAGATGACAGCTATATAATTCCATTTACCAGGCACTAGGGGCTTTAATGTGAAGGTGACAGGGAGCTCTTTGTGCATTTAGAGCACCATATCTTCTAAATAAAAGATCTGTAGACTTGATAGTGGAGTATAGCTCTGCCTTTAATAATCTCCAAGCATTAGACTGAGCCAATCTGTTCCCAAGTCAGAAGGGTCCCCCACCGAAGGCTCGTAAATTAGAAGTGCAGGAACTGCCCGGATTCAGGGATTAGGGATGCAGGGAGGGCAGAGAGGAGCAGCCTGTGCTCCCCTGGCCAGGCACAGGGGCTGGGCTCCCTTCCCTCTTGCTGCTTTTCCCCCCTTTCCACATGATCCATGTGGGGGAAGAGCTGGAAATGAGCACTGAGCTCTGCCAAGGCTTGACTGCACATAATAGCAGTCAGGTTTGAAGTTCCTGCATTGTGTTCCTGCATTTTTTTATTTTTTTTTTTCTGATGAGACATTCATTCCCATCATTTCTGCCTGTTTATGAAAAATAGGCTATTTATAGGACGTGCATATGCCTCTTCTGCTTCGTGTTTCTGGCAGACAATATAAATTGTGGGATGGGAATTGCAATTATTGAAATTATTTGGATAAAAATCTGGCACTTCTATTTGATATAAACACATGATATGCTAGGAATAATAACAGCACTTATGTTACATAATGATTCCCATTCAAGCCCTCCAAGCTGTCACGTTTTCAGATCTTTCATCCTGGGTGAAACAGATGAGCCCATCCCAGCCCAGCTTTGCAGGGGAAAGTCCCAACTCTCCAGCAGCTCAGGTTCTGAGAGGAGAAAGCAGCTGCTCAGCATGGCTTGGAGTGCTGGAAAATTATTGATGTGCACATGATGAACCTGCTGAGGACCTTCCTTTAGAGGCTGTTAGAATGCTGGCTCTGCTCGTGATTGCCAAAAGATCCTCTGCAATAACAAGAAATGTGGATTCCTAGTGGGGATTTTGAGGATCAGATGAACTCGGTGCTGGCAGCAGTGCCCGAGTACTTTGGAATGTTTTGGGAAGATTCTCCAAGGTAACAAACGGCAGGGCAGGAGGAAATGGCCTCAAGCTCTGCCCGGGGAGGCTCAGGATGGACAGGAGGAAGAATTCCTTCATGGAAAGAGTTTAAGGTCCCTTCCCACCCAGACCATTCTAGGATCCTCCTGAGCCCCCTGGGTGCCCTGTGCCAGGCTGGGGATGGAGCAGCTCGGGTTCAGAGCTCACCTGCACAGGTGCTCACCTGGGCACCTCCAGCTCCTCCAAATCCCACATCAGAGTCTCCTCAGAGCAGCTTTTCCTGCAGCTGGGCACCCTCTGCCCCTGGCTCTGCTGGAAGGGCTGCAGCACTCAGAGAGGGAGCTGAGTGTTTATCTGGATCTCCAAAAAGGGATTTAAGGGTGAGAGCAGTGCTATTTTAGGCTGTTTCATTGCCTGTCAGCAGTGCTAAACCTGAGCTGTCTGCAGTGTCTCCAGATAAGCAGGAGCAGGGGCCCATTTTGCATCTACATGAGTTTGCATTACTTCAGAGAGGGGGACTTTAAATCCTCTTTATTTTTATTTTCCTCTCTGGGAAGCGTTTAGCTAGGCTTGTGCCTGGCATCTGGAGGCATTTCTTATCCTTGAACCTCAATCTGTGCTGCTGTCTTCTCTACCGTGGCTTTGCTTGGCACTGATGTTGTTAGAGGAGGAGGAGGAGGAGGAGGAGGAAGGTGTTTGAGCTCAGAAGGGAGACCCAGGAACATCCCCGTGCTAAAACACAAACTGAATTCTCTATTTGGGGGTTGATTTTTGTAACGTCCATGCCTTGATTTCTTCTGCACATAAACCTTGACTGGCATCTGGCAGCTCCTCAGTCCCCAGAACGAGCTGTGCTGGGTGTCTGGGGGAGGCCAGGCTGTTGCTGTGCATTTCAGGGTGGTTTTTTTTGTTTTTGTTTTTGTTTTTTTTTAAGATCCAAATGAAGCAGGTGTGTAATGTCCTCTGTCTGTTAGAAAGACTCAACCCATAAAAATAACAAACGGCGTGTATTTGCAGGAATGTCAAAGTTATGAGTTTATTTTGTAATGATGTGCTCCTGCCTTCATGAGGTAAACTGGCCGTGGCAGAGGTGTTATTAGTAATATGGAGTCAGTGGAGCAGAAAGGCAAGTGACCGAGAGATCAGTGTATCAGTCAGGGAGAGGGCAAATGGGAAGAGACAGCAGGAGAATGAGAAAAGAGCTGCTCTGCCCAGGCTCAGATTAGAGATGGAGCTGTGCAAGAGAATGAGGAGCCCCAGCCTCTCAAAGGAGCTGCTGGGCCTTTGTCTGGTTTGTTGTTTTGGTTTTTTTTTTATTTTTTTTCCCTCCCAGTACTACATTTAAATATTTCCACCCTGCAGATTTCTTGGAGCAGTTTGGGATTAGTGATCTGAGCTGGGCTCGGCACTCAGGAGTTTTGGTGACACTGCTGCTTGGGGGAGGCAAGTGGGAAAACGGCCTCAGGTTCCCCACTGGTGTCATTGCCCTTGGGGATTGTAGAATCCAGAATGGTTTGGGCTGGGAGGAACCTCAAAGATCCATTTCCACCCCCCTGCCATGGGCAGGGACATCTCCCACTGTCCCAGGCTGCTCCAAGCCCTGTCCAGCCTGGTCTTGGACACTTCCAGGGGCACCCACAGCTTCTCTGGGCACCCTGTGCCCTGCCCACCCTCCCAGGGAACAATTCCTGCCCAATATCCCACCCATCCCTGCCCTCTGTTCACTAGGGATCACTTTTCAGCAGCTCCTGCCTGCACACAGGGCTTGGGGGGCTGTGTTGTGACAGGTTTGCTCCATCCTTTTCATTTCCAAGTGACCCTGAGGTGCAGCAGGGGTGGGTGTGTGTGCACCTGCTCAGCCAGCACCTCCTGGTCACATCCCAGCACTGATGGCTTTCCCATTTTCCTTTCCCCAGGTGCTTGGAAGGGAAGTTTACACCTCCAACAACCAGCTGGGAGGGATCCAGATCATGCACAACAACGGGGTGACACATGACACTGTCTGTGATGACTTTGAAGGAGTTTACACCATCCTGCAGTGGCTTTCCTACATGCCAAAGGTAATTCCTGGCCCTGCAGAGCTGCCACTGTTTGCTTTGTTTGCAGGGCTTTGGGAAAGGGGGCTCTCACTTCCTTCAATATTTTCCTTTTTTCCCTCAGAATATCCACAGCCCTGTGCCCATCCTGAAGGCCAAGGATCCCATAGACAGAACCATTGAGTTTGTTCCCACCAAGACCCCCTACGACCCTCGCTGGATGCTGGCTGGACGCCCCAACCCAAGTATGGCCAGGACATGCAGCAACTCATCTTGTTTTCAAAGCTTTTTTGCCAGATGCCTGCAACCCAAATAGAGTTGAGATGCTGTAAAATAATTAGTCTTAAGCAATAGGGATAGAATATGTATATTTACATATAATAATATCTGTCTGTAATATTAGTTATGAGCAATATCTAAAAGTAGCATGTAAATGCTGAGTGCTCATGGGCACCATATTTTTATAGATGATATATTTATTTAGAATAGTTACTTTTATGGAATTTTTTTTATGATTTAGGAGAATGTCCATCCACAGAAAGTCTGTAGTTAAAGGAATCACAAAATTCCTGCAGATCTTGGGCAGTTGTAGTGTTGGCACCACTGGGGTTGTGCAGCCTTGTGTAGGTCCAAGCTGCAAACTGGGTGCCCATTCCTCCTGCTGTTATTAATGAGTTTGGGGGGCTAAAATGAGATTTGTGATAAACTAAGTTTTCTAGTTTTGGATAATATTTTTTCATCATCTCTCAAGCAATTCATCCAGCTGTCTGGGCGCCGCAATCGCCGGCTTCCAAATCGAGTGACTTCAGATTTTAATTTAGTGCAAGCGTTAAGGAAAGCAGATGATTCCCTGTGATAAGTTAAAGCAGATATCTCCTAGGTGAAAAGTTAAAGCCATTTATTAGAGGAGATATTGCTGTGATATTCTTCAAACTGACGCCCGACACGAGGCCAGAATCTAAACGATCGGCTTTGGGCTCGCGATAAAGAGATAATTTTGAAATGGATGGTCACATTTTACAGTGGGGCCACAGAGGCAAGGAATGTAGAACACAGTAATTACAAGTTTGGGCTTGATAAAACACTCTCCATCCTGTTGAAGTCAGCAGAGGTTAGCGTGCTCGGATCTCCACTTTTTAATTGGTTTTGGACTTGGCTTTGCAGAGGTGCTTGTTGAGAGGAGAGAGTTCCTCGGGAGCTCTGTGCCAAGGGGTGAAGCTGGGAGGGATTTGGGGATTTTTTTTTTTTTGTGGGTTATTTTTATGCAGAGCTTCCCAAAAGCCCAGTGCAAAGCAGGTGTCCCCAGTGAGTTGTGGTTTCTGTGACTGACTCTAAAAAAAAATACCATTGAAATTTTCCTATTTATTTCCTGCGTTTCTTCAGCATTCCTTTCTTTCAAGGAAAGATTAGGCAGGATCAAGAGAAGAATATGAGATAAGTTTTAAAATAGAAATAGATGTGTGGAAAACCATCTTTAATGACTTTACTGCCTTTTGACAAATGTTTGTCGTCCTGAAAAAAGCAGAGTTATTTATTTAAAAGCACGGGAAGTCCCTCTGCTCTCCGAACCCCATCGTTTAACAATAAATGATGCTTTTGCTGATAAATTGCTGTCTTTATGCAGACTAGGAAATGAAATAAGACATGATGGCTGAAGGCAGACAAATGCTCAGCTGTCTAATGCTCCCTTGTATTGTCATCTATTTAAAATTAAATAAATAAAAAGACAGTGCCATGTTCTCCAGTTGGCATTTTTTAAGCAAGTTGGAGTTGCTGCTTTGATATTCTGTTTTCTTTCTTCCCTCTCTCCTTCCTCCTTTGAATATTTCCTTTTTTTTTTCCTTTCCCTTCAGATCAGAAGGGGCAGTGGCTGAGTGGGTTCTTTGACCATGGCTCGTTCATGGAGATCATGCAGCCCTGGGCACAGACAGTGGTGGTGGGGAGAGCAAGGTAAGTTCTGACAATTGTGGAAATCAAGTTTGAGTTCTGCTTTGCCTTTCTTTAGAACACAACATCCCTGTGATTATTTCTTTCTCTCTCTATGTGTATATATATCTATTTCATAGAAAGAATTGGCAAGAAAGGGATGAGATGACCTTTAAGGTCCCTTCCAACCCATTCCATGGCTCTATAATTCTATAATTTAAAGGCTTCCAGGCTAAGCAATGTGCCAGGGGTGGAAATCAATGATTTGGCAAAACCAGAAGCTCTCTGTCCATGCTCAGCTTCACTTGCAGTTCCTTTCTTCTGACAAATTCCAAGTGGCTTTGGACTCTCACACAGCAGGGATATATAACACAAATGAAACAGACTCCTTTCAAAAGCAGTGGCACTTTGAAAAAAAAACCAAATATGAATGTATTCTTCTGGGATTGTTACTGTAAGTGCTGCCAAAACTCATCTCTCGTATGTATGTTTGGAATATGTGTGCTGTTGGCTGTAAATTGTCTTTTATTATTCTATGGCAACTTGTCCAGGGACACACTATAAAACAAGATGTAGCATCTTCATGTGCTAGCCTGATAAAATTTATATGAAGTATTATGGAAAACAGAAGTTGTTTTGAGCTGTTTTCAAGTTCAATAAATAACTGTAATACTTGGATAAAGATGTTCTTTATTAGGTCACATGGGCCCTAACACAGAAGTTATAAGTTACCGATTTAGGACGGCTTCTGCAATTATGGGGTTCCAGCAGACCCTTCATCATAGGGAATGGGAATATTTCCATCCCCTCAGTGCACAGGGGCCCTGTCTCTTCCCTGCCTGCTCCTGTGTCATCAGCTTGGGGTGGCTGGGAGGGGAGAGGGGGCTCAGCTGGGACTGTCCTGGCAGCGTGGCATCCATGGCTTTTGTGTGCAGGAGGGCCTGGATCCCTTGGGAGGCAGAGCTGGGCATCCCCCCTGTCCCTGCACCCTGTCACCCTGTCCCTGCACCCCCTGTGTGTCCCTGCACCCCCTGTGTGCCCCTGCACCCTGCCCACCCCTGTCCCTGCACCCTGCTCACCTGCAGCAGCAGATCTGGGCAAAACACAGCAAGTGGTTAAAATCTCTCCCACCCCAATCTGTCATTCTGGTTTTTCGTTGTCAAGACCATCAGTACCAAAATCTGGCTGATAATGTCTGATGGGTGGTGGGTACATGGATTTACTGGTCAAAATCGAGCTTTGGTTTATTCTGTTTGATTTTTAGAGAGGAATTTGCTCATTTTTGGAATAGGTTTTGCTTTGAGAGCTGTGACCTCTCTGGAACTCTCCAGCATTTTGCTTCAACTCTGCAAAATGCCACAGGGCTGTTCTTTGTCTCTCCTGGCTGCTTGGATGTGCAGCAGCAGGAGTGGGAATGTTGTGTCTCACCTGTTTGCAGGCTGGGAGGAATACCTGTAGGAGTGGTTGCTGTGGAAACAAGGACAGTGGAGCTCAGCATTCCTGCTGATCCTGCAAACCTGGACTCAGAGGCCAAGGTGGGTGAGCTGTGTGCTCCTGTCCCTGCTTGTCCCCTGCCCGTGTCCCTGGGCAAGGAGCCCTTGTCCAGTGGGAATTCCTTCCTTTCCCCAGAGTGCAGCCATTCCTGGGGGGCCTGGGCTGCTGGGGGACCATTCCTGGACACATCCCCAGCCCTGCTTCCCCCAGCACTCAGGGGAGGGGCAGGGACAGGGGTCCAGGAGATGTGACAAGCAGAAATCACTTCCCTGCTCCCTTGCTGTGACTGGAATGTTCCATGGCTTTCCTGCTCTGACATTGTGCCTGATTTCACAGCCCTGGCTCTGCTTCATCTCCCCATGTCCTTCCTTTCTCCTCTCCGTGTCCTTTTCTTTCTCTTCCCCTTCCCCTCCTAGCAGCATCACAGTGTCAGGCTGTCCATACCCTCTTTCCTTAGGAATAGGAATAGCTACAATATAGGAATAGGAATACTACAGAAGAATAGGAATGCTACAAAAGGATTGTCCCAATTTTCCCATGGCCAAGCAGATCCCCCACATTTCACATGCCATGCCCCTCCTTGTTTATCCCACATCACACCTCCTGATGCTTTTTCTGTGTTTTAACTCTCACTTTCACGTGCTTCAAGGCCTCAAGGTGAATTTTTTTTTTTTTTTTCCCCACCAGATAATCCAGCAGGCTGGGCAGGTGTGGTTCCCTGACTCTGCCTTCAAAACAGCCGAGGCAATCAAGGACTTCAACAGGGAAGGGCTGCCCCTGATGCTCTTTGCAAACTGGAGAGGCTTCTCTGGGGGAATGAAAGGTAAGCAGCCCTTTGGAGCTGTCCTGGGAGTGGTTTTGGCTCTGCCTTGGCTGCTCAGAGTGCTCAGAGTGCTGCCTGAAATGTCCTGAAGTGCCAAGGGTGTGAGATTGATGCTGGGAAATTTGCAGTGAAAGATGAGCTGGGGGCTGTGTGAGAGGAGCCCCAGGAGCAGTGAGCTGGGGGAGCTCTCAGAGGCTCTGATCCTCCTCAGCAAAGCCTTTGAGTTTGCAGATGCAAAAGAGGGCAAAATTCTTCCCTTTGGAACACACCAGCTCCATGAGCTGCAAGTGCTCTCCCTACAGGAGCTGCTTTCCCAGCCACACAACTCACTGGGAACTTGTTGATGTATTTTTAGCTTATTTATTTAACTTATTCCATCCTTAAATATTATTTTACCTTAAAATGCCAGCTCTGGCTTTGCTGGGTTCCTCAGAAATGGAGTTTTAGCTTTGGAGTTGGGGTGTTAATATTTATTTTGCATATCCTAAGTTATTCCAGCCAGGCAGGAGCAGGAGGAGGAGGAGGAGGAGGAGGAGGAGGAGGAGGAAGGACAGAGCCATTGCAGTTTGCTCCTTGCATTTTCCAGCCTCCTGCTTGCTGCTGGTGTCTCCTGACACTCTGGGTGTCCCTTGGGGAGTTGTTTGCAGTTTTGGTTTCAGTGCTGGCTGGGGATTATGCAGGGAGGGAAAATAAACAATTATGCCACCCCTCAGTGCACACAAACACACTGCCAGGAGCCGACTGCACTGTGGGTAAAATGACTCCAAAATTGTGTGTAATGAGTAGGAAAAGATTAGAGACAGCTCTTGCTATGCTGAAAATTGACATTAGTGAAGGGGGAGGGGGGGAAAATGAAAAAAAAAAAAAAAAGAGGGAAAAAAAAATGAAACCCCCTCTTTCTTCGTCAGCCTGGGAGGTCTAATTCCTGCTGGAAAATAAATAAATAACTCCCTAAATAAAGGCAGCTCGTGGTGGTGGTTCCCCCAACGAGCCAGAAGGCTCCTGAGCATAATGCAAAATTAAATTATGAAAAACTGGCAGGAATATTGTGATGGGGGAGCCATTTGGCAGGGGTTGGTTTGGGAGAACCAGCAGTGACCCACGACGGGGAGACATCAGGCGTGAAATTCCCTGGAAATTAGCACCAGGGTCCTGGGCTCTGCAGGGAGGGTTTGATCACATGCAAATCCCCCAACATCCAACCCTGCTCCCCACGGGGGGCTCCTGGGTTACTTCTCATTCTTGCCCAGGATAGATTATAAATAACAATAAAAAAAAAATAAATAATAATAATAGAGTGGAGTGAAGAGGGAGGTGCTGGGTTTGGGGTGTGTGATGGATTTATGGGGTGTCCTTGGTGACTTTTTATGATGCTTCTGTTTTGTTCTGTTTGTGTTGGATCTTGAGTTCTGCAGCTTTGGTTCCAGGACTGAAGGGGGAGAGAAGAGGTGCAGAGGTTTTTTTTTGTTGTTGTTGTTGTTGTCGTTTTTGTTTGGTTTTGGTTTGGTTTTTGTTTTTGGGTTTTTTTTTTGTTTAGTTTGTTATCAATTTGCCCCAAACCAAGACTCTTGGTTATCTTCAGGTGCCATCTGATTTTCCAGCCAAGCTGGTGGGATCCAGAGGGGCAGGGAGGGCTCTGAATTCCTCACTCCAACCCCTGCCATGGGCAGGGACACCTCGTTAGGCTGAGGTTTAAATTAACAGAGGGATTTTGGCTTTGGAGAGCCTTTGGTGGTGGCAGTCAGGGAGGAGGATGCTCCTCAGCAAAGTTCCCAGCCAGACCTGGGAGCACCAAGGGAGTCCCCAGCAGCTCCATTGGCCTTGGAGAAATGCTGAGTGTGCAAAGGAAAGCCAGCACTTGGTTTTATTTAATACCAAATATTAGGATTTCATCAGTTATTTCATCAGTTATTTCATCAAGATCCCAAAGCTGCCCTGCAGAACCATGCAGGGATGAGATTCCCCCTTCTTGATCCCCCAAAAAATCCACAGGCACAGAAATGTTTCCCTGAGCACCTGGGAAATAAAGAAAAGAAATAAAATCCTGTCCTGATGACACCTGGGAAACGTGAGGGAGGTTTGGAGAAAGCACCAAGATCCCCCAATTTCTGTGCTCCTGTTCAAACAATTAGTGCTGCTCTTCTCTGCACTTCACCTGAGTAAAATATATACCCATGGCAGGAGTGAAAAATGTATTGCTAATTACACAATTATTTTATTATGTAGCACTAGTAAAAAATGTCTAGTAAAGAATTAATTCAGTTAAAATAATTTGAATCAAGCAATTATTTTCTTAACACTAGAATTAGCTGAAAGTACTTCAAGTGGTTTATTACTAGCACTACATAATAAAATAATTGTATAATTAGTAATAAATTTGTCACCCCTTTTGAGTCTTTTTCTTTGCTCAGGACAAAGGGAAGGGTTGGAGTTTTGTTTGGTTCTCAGTCCTCACTGTCTCTTCTGGGATTTATGTTTATTCCAAATTCGAGGGAATAAATTGTTCTTCCTTTTTGTCAGCATTTGATACCTCTTAAATAACATGAAATTCCTTTTCTTGGCTGTTTGGGCAATGACCTTGGAAATGAAATGGAGAGATCCTATCAGTGCCTGTGCTACTAATATATATTTATCTATATTTGTGTGTAGATATGTATTTAAAATAGAAAAGAGTGAGTGTTTCCTAAAGAGTTAATTGCTTAATTATGTTAATGCTTACCACTAAAATGAGGGTTAAATGACAAAGGGACCTTGGCTGGAGTCTCTTTCTTCTCCAGAAATGAGGCTTTTCTCCAGGGATAGAAGGATTTTAGATGAATAAAAGTGTCTCCGTGTTTTCAGTTCCTGTACAAAAATGCAGCTCCTTACTTTTCTCTGCACTGGTGTTTGAATGGCCAGGGAAAAAAAAAAAAAAAATGAGGCAAACTGGGAGGGTCCAAACACAAAAACCCAAATGATGGAGGGGGTTGGAAGAGAGATGAGGGATGGATTCCTGCAGTGTGTGAGGATAAACCCCACTGAAAATCCTGAAATGCTGCTGTTTGTGAGCCTGAAGGAGTGCAGGTGTTCTGTGGGGAGGTACAAGGGGTAGTGACATGAAATTAATGGGGAGGGAGGGGAAGTTTGGCTGAGTTCTGAGGGAAATCTCATCTGCTTGGCTGTGGAAATGGCCCTGAAGAAGCAGTGGATTTATTGTTTGGGGGTTTCTAAATGGGAGCTTTCAAAAGCACTGTGGAAGAAATGGTCCTGTGTGAACAGAGGTGGGCTAGATGAGCCTAATAACTATTCCTCATTTCTTGTATTTTGATTTAATACTTCTAGATATAATTATATGTAACAAAATATATATATTCAAGAGTGCCCGTTTCCATTACAAACTGTATCCATTAGAAACTATATCATCTCATAGAAATTCTTCTGCCTTCCCTTTTTCTCTTTTATTTAAATCACCTTTGGGGCTGATATTTTCAATGTACTGTCTTTACACAGTGGAGTTGGTCTTATTAATTTTGAGCAAAATGCCTTAAACAAATTTTAATGGAGGAAGAGCTGAGTGCTGGTCCCCCATCCCTCCCCACACACATTTTTATGAAGATCTGGAAAAGCTCTGCTGCCCTTAGGTGCATTTTATTCACATTACATGAGTTGTGGGAGAGGTCTGGGGTAGTAAGTCTGAAATGGGGCAGTCCAGACGTACCCATCCTGATTTCCCAAACTCTGGGAATGCTTCTGGGCTGGGAAATCCGGGCTGGATCACCCCCAGGGCAGCTGGTGTGATCTGAGGAGCTGCAGCCCTGGCGTGGGTGAGGTTTCATGCAAAGATTCCAGGCTGGATTTCCAGGGAGGAGGTTCCATGTGGGACAGGGGAATGGCCTTAGCCTGGAGGAGAGTGGATTTAAATGGGATGGCAGGAAAAAATTCCTCCCCACGAGGGTGCTGAGGTCCTGGCACAGGATCCACCCCTGGAAATGTCCAAGGTTGGGGCACTGATGAGCTGTGACTGCAGGCTGTGTGTCCTTGTCCCAGCCGTGTCTGCCCATGTCTCTGTCCTTCCCCAAACATGTGTGACCATGTCCCCAGCCATGTGTGACCTCTCTGTCCCTCCCCATCCACGTGTGACATTTTTCTGTCCTTCCCCATCCATATCTTATATTTTTCTGTCCCACACAGCCATGTCTGACTATTTTTCTGTCCTTCCCCACCCATGTCTGACTATTTTTCTGTCCCTCCCCATCCATGTTTGACATTTTTCTGTCCCTCCCCATCCATGTGTGACATGTTTCTGTCCCACACAGCCATGTCTGACCATGTCCCCACCGATGTCTGACATTTTTCTATCCCTCCCCATCCACGTCTGACTATTTTTCTGTCCCACACAGCCATGTCTGACCATGTCCCCATCCATGTCTGACATTTTTTTATCCCTCCCCATCCATGTCTGACATTTTTTTATCCCTCCCCATCCATGTCTGACATTTTTCTGTCCCTCCCCACCCATGTCTGACCATGTCCCCATTCATGTCTGACTATTTTTCTGTCCCTCCCCATCCATGTCTGACATTTTTTTATCCCTCCCCATCCATGTCTGACATTTTTCTGTCCCTCCCCATCCATGTCTGACATTTTTTTATCCCTCCCCATCCATGTCTGACATTTTTCTGTCCCTCCCCATCCACGTCTGACCTGTATCTGTCCCTCCCCACCCGTCTGACCATGTCCCCATCCATATCTGACATTTTTTTATCCCTCCCCATCCATATCTGATATTTTTCTGTCCCTCCCCACCCATGTCTGCCCACGTCCCCCACCCACCTGTGCCATTTTTCTGTCCCTCCCCGCCCACGTGTGACATTTTCCTGTCTCACACAGACATGTACGACCAGGTGCTGAAGTTCGGCGCCTACATCGTGGACGGGCTGCGGGAGTACCGGCAGCCCGTGCTCATTTACATCCCGCCCCAGGGCGAGCTGCGAGGCGGCTCCTGGGTGGTGATCGACCCCACCATCAACCCGAGGCACATGGAGATGTACGCCGACCGGGAGAGCAGGTGCGGCACGGGAATGGGGCCGGGAGGGGCTGGGATAAGAGGAAACACAGAGTTTAGGGGGATAAATTGATAGTTATCATATGGGATGGGTATTTAGGATATTGGTATGGGATGGATGGAGATGTACGTGGACCAGGACAGGAATGGGGCTGGGAACAGCTGGAACAGAAGTTACACAGAGTTTAGGGGGATAAATGGATAGCTTTTATATGGGATGGGTATTTAGGATATTGGTATAGGATGGAGGGAGATGTACGTGGAACAGGGCAGCAGGGGTGGGATGGGTGGAGGGGATGGGATGGGGACTGCACAGAGGGAAAGGGATAAATGGGGATTTATCATATAGGATGGGTATTTAGGATATTGGTATGGGATGGGTGGAGATGTACATGGATCAGGACAGCAGGTACAGCCCGGCTGGGACAGGATAGAGAATACACAGAGTTAAAGGGGGATAAATGAAGATTTATTATATAGGATGGATAGTTAGGATAGTGATATAGGATGGATATTGGTATAGGATGGATAATAATAGATATTTGTCTTTATAGGTTTTAAACCATTTGCATACAGAACTGCCCAACTAATAGTCACAAATCATGAATTTTCATCCTCTTCCCTTCTTTCCTCCCCTCCCTCCTCTTTTCACGTTGTTTTTTGTGTTTTTGAGGGGATGATGGAGCTCCTTTATTTGTGTTTTGCCTTGCAGGGGAGGGATCCTGGAGCCCGAGGGGACGGTGGAGATCCGGTTCCGAAGGAAGGACCTGGTGAAGACCATGCGCAGGGTGGACCCCGTGTACATCAGCCTGGCCGAGCGCCTGGGTAGGTGGGACCCTCCCAGGGCACGGGGACACCCCTCAGGCGTTTGATTGTGGCTGTAGGAAGGGATATTAACCCTTTAGGCGCGGCAGAAATAAGACACGCGGCTACCTGATCTTCTTTCATGGTAGGAAAGTGAGAGAAGTTTAATTCTAAACCACTTCTTTAAGCCCAGTCTGCCGAAACTCAGAAGACAGGATAGAGCTGATTGGTGTAGAGAGAGTGACACCTCTTTGCCAGGCCTGCTCACACACCAGGACAGGTGTTAATCAATGTTGGTAATTCCATTCTGTTTTGATCAGATTATTAGAAATTCTCCTTAACTGAAACTGAGCCGGCTTATCAGGCTGAGAATGAAGCTGAGAGAACAGGAGAAGCTCCAGCCTGAGAAGATTCTCCAGGCTGTAATTTTTTGTGTGTGTCCACATTTTGATCAGGGTCATTTTCATTTTTATTTACTGCTCTGTGGCTTGGGAAGGAGAGCAGGTGAGAGCACTGCAGGTGTTGGGATGATGCTCGTGCACACCCAGCGTGCCCTGGGTGTGTGACACAGTGGGGTTTTTTGAGCTGATTTCTCTTTTTTGTTATCTTTTATTGGCTGGATCTCACAACAGACCCTCACTGCACATGCCTGGGTTTAATTTCCAGCTCAGCAATTGCTCAGCTCACTGAGGGTTTGTGGGCCAAACGTTTCAGGTAACAAAGGCTTTGATCAGAGACATTTTGGGCTGCTGGACTGTCACTGAGTGGCCGGGGTAGTTTGCAGTGATGATATCCCTGAGCTCTTCAGTTTCAAGGGAATAAGGAATGTTGTCCATGCCTCTGCAGGCAGGGGGGCTGTGCAGAGCTGGCAATGCCAGGGTTGTGTTATTACCACTCTGATCCCAGTGCCTGCTGTACACTCACCATCCCAAAATACAGAGTGTTCAGCAAAATGCTCTTAATATCAGATATGTTCTCTCTCAGGGGAATAGACTCTTTAAATAGTTCTTTACTGGCTCTTACTATAAGAGTATAATCTTACAGAGCCTCCTTTTACCTCCAAAATTGACTACATTTCAGTGGAGGGAGAAGTGTGCCATGTGGGTATGGCTTGAATTTATAAAGCCTTTTGGGATCCTTCAGGAGGAAAAGTGTTCTGCAAATGACTGATAAATCCTGGCTATTGCTGCAGTTACATTTTATTATTTGGCTTTTTTAAAAATTTATGGCAGGGCAACAATTTATATACAAAACAACCCTCCTGATATGCCCTGGGAAGAGAATTACAACGGGTGAAGGGTGAGGGGGTGCCCTGGGACAGTGGAAGGTGTCTCTGCCCATGGCAGGGAGTGGAATGAAATGATCTCTAAAGTCCTTTTCAACTCAAACCACTCTATTATTCTGTGTCTTAAATCCCAGTTTTAAAGTTTGGCCTCTGTCAGACTTGACAGTGTCTCTTTAGGAGCAAAGGGACAGTGACTACCCCAAATGATGGGAACCCAGCTCAGAATCCTAAAAAAAACAAAAACCTGTCTGGAGTGTTCAGGCAGGCAGGACCCCCAGCTCCCCCTGCCATGGGAGAGCAGGAATCTCCAGGGAAGCAGAGATCAGGTGTGAGCTCAGGGAAGGGAATGTGCTGAGCACTCAGCTGGGCCCTGCAGGTGCATGGGCAGCACTGCAGCTCCTGTGCAGGGTTTGCCTTCACCTCCCCACGCTGCCCTGGCTGAGCCTGGGGGCGGATCCAGCAGTGGAGCCGTGGGAATGATGCTGTGCACAAAATGTGGAAATCCTGGAGGGAGGGGGAGCAGAGCAGCACCTGCACTCACCTCTGTGGGTGCAGGACACCTGCAGGCCACCCTTGAATCCTTGAAAAAAAAACCACAAGGGGCAAAGATGGGACAGAGTTTTGTGCCAACAGCCTCAAAAATCCAGAGCCATGAGAGGAGGCAGGAGCCTGCTCAGGCTTTTCCCCCCTCTCCTTTTCCTCTACAGGGTAATTACTCCCAGCAAACTCCATACACTTTAATTAAAATGACTGCAACACAAGAGCAAGTCACTTACAACTGTACATAGGGAGAGCTCTAAAAGCTTCAGTC